GACCGTATGAAACCTATTGATAATGTAGTTGGAATTACAAATCAAATTTTTTATATTTTTAACTAATATTTCACGAGGATATAATTATTCGATATTTAATAATATTTACTCGATTTTATGAAAATTAAGTAGTTTAAATACTGCTTGCATGTACCCCTGATTTTCTTGTAGACTTTCTTTAAAACTGAAAGCTGGTGTAGACTTGGACACTTTTCCGTATTTGTTTTAGTTTAAAACGTAATTTACAAAGATTTTTTTACCTAAAATCTTTTTAATGAGTTTATAATTCTTTTTTTTGTGTGTTTCACTGAGAAACTTTTATCGATAATTCTAATATTAAATCTGGAACTTTTTTTACTGTTTATACATTTTTCTCCGTTGCGTCAGCCTCAAATGGTGAATATCACATAAAATTTTTAGTCTTTAAATTTGACATTTTAAAATTATTAAACAAATTACTTAAACGAGACATTTTGAAGCTTTGTTTTCTTGTTTTTTCTTTTATTTATTTATTGCACTTCTAATAAAATAAAATCTTTTTCCTGATTTTCACAAAATTTTTAAAGTTGAACGCCGTGTTACTGTTTGCAGACTCTGCCGACTTTACCGGAAAATTCTGGAATGAAAGTTGCAAAGTAAAAGTTTTATGAAAAATAATCAATGAAGAAAATGTTGAGCAAAATGCGAAATGCAAAATGTGGAAGCTTTTGCAATCCAACAACAATACAATGTGCATACATGAATTTGGGTTGGGGAGGATGTTCGTATGTATGTGATTGGCCCTGAGTTTGATAAGGGAAAATGCGAGAATGATAGGAGCAGAAGGCAACCGAGCAGATGCGTACGTGCATCTTTGCAAACTGCAAACTGCTCTGCTGCTAACAGCTCATTTCAGGCTGCAACTTGTGCAGCGCAGTTGGTGTGTTCAGTGTTGCAATGAAGGCAAAATTGTTGGCTGTTAGGTTTGCTGCTCGACGTAACGATGCATTGCTAAGTTGGATTCAGTTGACTATTTTGACTTTGTAGTTGTTATGTGAACTATTGTTTTTCCATATTGGTTAATTAACCCATTTCGGACCACAATTCGGCCAGTTTTGAATATTTTTTAATATTCAAAGAATATTTTATATATTTTAAATAAATATCAAACTTTTCTCATTTACTTAAGCTTTGTTTCATTTTACTATTAACTATGAAAATTTCACCGTTAAATTTGAAGTCTGAAATTGCCTAGTACTTAATGGGTTAATGCAAGTTGGCAACAATTTGTGCTATGCGTATGGAACGTTGGTTTCATGTGACAAGTTTGATTGAGTTCAGCCACGACACGGAAAGGAAAGGAAAGTGTTTGGGAAGCGGTTGTCATGGTCGCTTCACGCCGGTCGTCGGTCGTCATAATTACGTTGAAAACAATAATTGTTGAATGCTAGATCGATATTTGACGGAAGCTTTCCCCTTTTTGGTCGGTTTGCAGGAGCGAATGCATTTACTTTTGCTTCGAAACATCCTGAATCGTGAATCGTGCATAATATTTATATATCATATAATTTAATTTGTAAAACTAAATAATTTATGAAATATTGAAATCTTTTAGAACTTAAAACTTTTTTAACATTGAAAATGTTTACATTGAGGTTTTCAATAGAAATTTTCAAGCCTAATAGCTTTCTTATTCGCCAGTTATTAATTTTTTCTTATTCACTGTGTAATGTTAATATTGATTGGTACTAGTAAATAGGAAACAATAAACTTGCAACAATAACAATGTTGTTTTGTGTATTACAGAAGTATATAGAAATTTTATTTGTATAAAAAAAATATTTATGTAAGTAGATAATAAGAAATAAAAAAGTATCTCATATAAATGAACTATTGAAAATTTAAAAGTGAAGGGTTGGTATATTAACACAAAAGTGATTTTACTTAGTTATGAAAACATTTTCAATATCTGACTTAAGTTCTTTGACAATTTAGGAAGATATAAATTCCAGCATTCCTTTATATTACAAAAGATAACGAGAACTATTTAGTAACTTGAAATTATAAAAGAAACATAGTACGGTTCTAATTTGAGAACCAATTAGCAAAGAAAAACATTTCTACACATCATTAAATAAATTGATTAAGTCAGACAAATCAAATCAAATTTGTAAAAAGCTAAAATCAATCAAAAATAATAAATTAATTGGGTGAAAAATATGACACTTCATATAAACCAAATCAAATTTGTTAATAACAAAAATCATTAAATTAAAAATAATTAATTAATTAGCAGTAAAAGATATATAATACATCAAATACTTTGCTATTCTTTTAAATTTTCAATCTATAAATTAAATGAAAAACAATAAATTCACTCTTCAATAAACTCTTGATATTCATTGACATTAATTCTAGCCACATTTCGAAATATGCCCAGCAGTTTATAGTGGTATCGATGCTAAAAGAATCACAATGGCATCGATGCTTTATTGATGCTTTAGTCGGTTTTAAGGAATCAATGGGCGAAATTTATTGCTTTATGCTGTATTTCACCTCAAAATTTTGGAAATATTTTGTGTGTACTTCTTTTTTATATAATATTAATTTATCATTTTAAAATAAATATAATAATAAAGTATATATAGGTATACATATATACTTCACAAAAATAAATCATTTGAATTTGTTGATTTTTTGTTGATACTTTTCCCTACAAAATTATATTGATTCCACCACACAATTATATTCATTCCCTACACCTCTTGCATGAAAAACCATCGCCGCAATGATGCTTTTAGGTATGACTAGGTATCAATAAAGTATCGATGGTTTTCCTATGGCATGTAATGCAAAAAAATATATTTACTTGGTATTGTAAAGAATGCAACAGAAAGAAAAGAATGAGTCATATACGAGATATCCATTTCGTGGTTTTAATTTAACAAAAAACTGTTTCAGTAACATATTCCAAATATAACTCTCATCTAAGGTATCTATGAACTTCGTTTAGCGGTTGTTAAAAAATCTAAGACTAATGTTTTTCGTGTTAGATACTGTATGTCAACAAATAAACCTGGGATACCTGGAGCGTTTAAAATCCACGAGGACCTCACAAAAGGCTAATGCATACTCCAGAAGTAACTATATATATGATCTGGAATTTAATAGGCCAACACTTTTTGAATATTACAAAGATTTGCAACATTTCGTCAATTCTAATTGCATTTTTTTGGATGAAATTGAAGACATGAATAT